GACTCTGGGTGCAGCAAAGCGGGCCGTTTTCCTCCGATCCGCCACTGGCGGTTCCTCGGTATCCCCCTTCTTGGGGTCCGCATTCGATCCTGATCCGTTTGCTCCTCAGGCGGTTCCCCGCTCAGGCGTGGCGGAGCCCCCGAAGGGCCGAGAGGACCTGCAGGCGGCGGTGGAGGTGCTGGGGCGCCACGCGCTGCACTCGGTCTTGGAGGAATGGTTCCTGGAAGTCCTGCAGGCCGACCTGCAGACCAGCGTCGCTCCCGAGTTCTGGAACTGCGTGGCGCAGTACGAAAACACCGCCGAGGAGCCCCAGTGCTCCCTCCTGCTCCTGGACGCCTTCTCCCTCCTCCAGCGCCGGCTGGATCCTTACCTGCGCAGCATGGACCTCCTCGAGGGATGGACCAGGGACGGCTTGCTCCTCGGGACAGGCTCCCAGGGCCTGCGGGAGAAAGTCTACACCATGTTCCGCGCCATCCTTTTCTTCTCCACCACCAAGGCCTTCCAGGAGATGATCCAGCGCTTCTACAGCCGCAGCTTCAAGATCCACATGCGCCAGCGGAGGAGACGTGAGGAGCAGGGCCCCGACGAGGGGGAGAGCGGCATGAGTGAGAACGAGCAGGAGAGCGAGGCGGCGGAGGAGGGCGAACCCAGAGGAAGGGGCCCGCAGTGTTCGGGCTGCGGTTGCAAGAAGGACGAGTGTTGGTGTCGGACCGCCTTGGAGCAGTTCCAGCAGCTCAACGACATCCTGTGGGTATCTTCTGTCACTGACCGGGTGGGTGGAAGAAAACATGCCATGGGGCTGATGGCCGGGTGCAGCCCCTCTAGGCTGAGCCTTCCCAGAAAGAAAGCCATGCCTGGGCAGGGTTTCAGAAGGTCTGAAACGATGGGGTGGCGGCTGTTTCCTTACGGTTTCATGAGCCAGACCTTGGGGTCTCTGAATCCTTCCACAGCAGGCAGGCAGGGGGTGGCGGCTGCTTTGGGGCCGTTATTTTTTCTAGGGAATTGGGGAGCTCTCCATCAGAGCAAGGACCTGCCCCTTCCTCCCTCCAGGCGCAAGCTGAACCTTTTGGAGCGCGTGAGCGCCGACGCCGTCACCAGCATCTTGCACCGGATGATCGAAGAGCGGATGGAGTGGCGATGCCGGGGAGAGTACGAGCGCTCCTTCCTGAGCGAATTCCAAGAGGTGGGTGGAGGTGGAGGTGAGATGGACTGGCCTGGGGATACTACCTGGTGGAAGCGGGGGGGGGAGAGGTTTGCAGAGCCACAAACAGCTCCGATGGGGAGAGAGGATGCTGCAATCCTTGCAGACGATCAGAAGGGTTGTGAGATTGGGATGCTGTCGAGCTAGTGACTCTTTGGGGGGGAGGAAGCCCTGCTGTAGATTGCTCGGACTGACCGCCCCTCCTCTTCCTTGTGCTGCAGTGGATCGAAAAGGTGCTGGGCTGGCTGAGCCGGGTGTTCCTGCAGGAAAGCACGGGGGCCCCTCCTAGCCGGGAAGCCAGCAGCACCCTCAAGCGGTGGAGGTGCCACGTCCAGCGCTTCTTCTACCGCCAGTACGCCAGCATGCGCATCGAAGAGCTCTTCAGCATTATTCGAGGTGGGCCCGGGAGGGGAGGGAATCGACCACAAGGCCGGAACCTGTGAAAGGCCTCGGGGTGCATCTCCAGCCCCTGGCACTCAGTGCCAGTTTTTGGGTGCCTGGGCCGTGCCCTTCCTGGGGCTTCAGGTCCCCGCCATAAAAGCAGAGAGCTTGTGTAGCCTTCCTCCACCTCAGGCGCCCCCACCCAAGCTGGGCCGCTTGCCTCCGATGGGCTCACGGCTTTTTGTGCTTTCTGGTCGACAGATTTTCCCGAGTCAAAGCCAGCAGTGGAAGACCTGAAGTACTGCCTGGAACGGACCAACCAGCGGCAGGAGCTTCTCAGCTCCCTAAAAAGTGCCCTGGAAATGCGCCTCCTCCATCCAGGTGGGTGTTCTGCCTCTTGTCCTGCCTCTCTTCCAGCTGCAGACGGTGCCGCAGGAAGGAAACAGACAAGGAAGACTTGGGTTTTTCCCTTTCTTCTCACTGTCATCCAGTCAGTGGAAGCGCCTGGGCCTGGATGGGCCGTGCGCTCCCAAGTTGGGAGGGATGGCTCTTGAGCAAAAACGGGAAGCGTGAGAGCATGGGTGGTGCTGGGAAGGCAGGAAGGAGAGGTGGGTGCGGTGGCTTCAGAGCCCAGCCTGCCACAGGTCCAGGGTCGGGCCTTGCACAGGATTCTGCCTTTCGGTTTGTAAACGGAGGAGGGTAGCGGTACCTCTTGCGGCCCCTCTGCAAAAGATTGCAAAGCCAACTCGAAGCGGGAAGGTCAGGAAGCCTCCGACGGAAAAGGACTGTCTCCCCTTTAGGGTATGCAAGAGGTTCGGCCTGGCCTCAGCTTGCCCCTCGTTCCATCTCCGATTTCCAGCCGTGGAGGGATGGCTGAGCCCATTGTGTTAAAGGGTTGTAACCCTCCTGTCCCGCCTTCTTCCCTCAGGGGTGAACACGTCGGACATCATCACCCTCTACATCTCTGCCATCAAAGCCCTGCGGGAATTGGACCCTTCCATGGTGATCCTGGAGGTGGCCTGCGAGCCCATCAGGAAGTACTTGAGGTGAACTGGGGGGGTGTCTGGTGGTTCTGCAAAGCATGGCAGTAGCCAAGGTTGGCTCTCGGCGAACGTTGGGCAGTCTTGGCAAGCCCCTTCCCAAACCATGGGCTGCCACAGTTACTTTGGAGGATGGCACAAGATATCTGTGCCGGAGTTTAGGGCTGCAGGCCAGACCATTCAGGTTCTTAGTGTGGGGTTTGGCCTACAGGCAGTTGTTCTCTCCTCCTCACAGAACCAGGGAGGATACGGTGCGGCAGATCGTGGCCGGCCTGACGGGTGATGCCGAGGGATCAGGAGACTTGGCCAACGAGCTCTCCAAAGCGGATCCGGTGACTCTTGAGAACGGCCAGGAGAGTGATGATGATGTGTCTGACCCGGAAGATTGGGTCCCGGATCCGGTCGATGCTGACCCAGGTAAGTTGCCCGCTTGGAGCAGTGACCGACCTGGGCTCAGTCTGGTGAAAAGGATTTCAGGTTGCAAAATGCTGTGCCCTTCCTGGACCGCAAGCAGACCACGGCCTCTTATTTTGGCTCCCTTGAATTGTTAGGCCGGGATTTCCTGCCATGAGCTGAAGGGGGCCTAATCCCACCCCTCACCCCGCTGTGGCAACCCTGTGAGACAAAAAGAGTAAAGGTCCCAATCCCTGGGGATTTCAGGAGGGTACTGGGAGTCCATTAGGGAGAGCAGGCTACCTTTTGCTCTCTGATCTGAGTCTGGTGTGGGTGATCGCGGAACAAAGGAAGGCTAATTGCCTTAGAGAAAGAACAGAGGAGTCAACAACGGATGTATGAGCCAGCGGAGCCTACAGGCAGACAACGGAGCCAGCGGAGCCTACAGGCAACGCCCTGAGAGCTCTTTTATTGACTTAGCATGATTACATTGTATGTTTTTAGAATTCGGATTGGATACTAGTTACCTAATCGTAACCAGGATTGGCTGAAATAACCCTTTGATCTTATGCTCTACCTCTAAGCGAAAGGACAGAATAAAGGGCTTACCCTGCCTACTGGCAGTTGCCGCTTCCTGCCAGGAGTGTACGCACATCACTGGAAAAGAATGCAGCCACAACCTTTAAGCGGAAGTTTCCCTCAGTCTGGGATTTTATTTTTTGTTTTGGAGTTGATGGCTAAGGTGTTTTTCTAAATTAAAAAAGGTGGGTGGTCCTGCTTAGGCCTCAGTAACTTGCAGCTCTTCAGATTAGACCCTTAGGCTCTCCCCCCCCCCTCTCCTGGGGCAACCTTGTTCTCTTCTTGTGCATCCTCTCTCTCTTTCTGCCCTGCCAGGAAAGTCGAGTTCCAAGCGCCGCTCCTCAGACATCATCAGCCTCTTGGTGAGCATCTATGGGAGCAAAGACCTCTTTATCAACGAGTACCGCACCCTCCTGGCTGACCGGCTGTTGCACCAGTTCAACTACAGCGCAGAGAGGTGAGGGCCGGAGAGAGAGAGCAGAACCTCTACAGAAGAAGGCAGAGGGAAATAGGGGCAGGGGGGGAGCTGTCATCCAAGGGTTCCCTCTTTGGGACCGGTGCTTCCCTGGGGATCAGCTGCCTGCGAGCTTTTGCCTCTCTTTGCCTCAGGGAAATCCGGAACGTGGAACTGCTGAAGCTGCGCTTTGGAGAAGCCCAGATGCATTACTGCGAAGTCATGTTGAAAGTAGGTGGCTGCTGCTCCTGCCACCCCCGCACGGGGAGGAGCGTTGGCTTCGAGGCCAGGAAAAGGAACCTGGCCCTCGGCTCTCTCCTGGGCCCTCCTCCCCGTATGGCCCCACTCCCTTTGGGAGAGAAGCCGGCAGAGGGGTGAGCCCTGGTGCACTGGGAGGCGGCCTCCTTTTCTGCCCAGTCTTTTGGGGAAAGCCAAGGGACCTGTGCTCAGCAGCAGAGCCCAGGAACCGAACCCCCCACCCGCCCTGCCCAGCCTGGCCCTTGGCAGCCAAACCGCAGGCTTTCCCTGCAGTGCCACTCTCCCCCCCCCTCACCAGGACATGGCGGACTCTCGACGCATCAACACCAACATTCATGACGAGGAGCAGAAGCTGCCCGAAGAGGAGAGGCCCCCCTTCAGCCTCATGGCCATCATCCTCTCTAGCGAGTTCTGGCCTCCGCTAAAGGAGGAGAAGCTGGAGCTCCCGGACCCTATCCGGGAGGCCATGGAGGCTTACGCCAAGAAGTACGAGAAGCTGAAGGTGAGAGGAGGGGAAGAAGGGAAGCGGGGAGGGGGCCTTGGCCAAGGGAGAGCAGCTGGGAGCCCTGGGAGGGGGGGGAACCTCAGCCTCTGGCCATTGCCCAGCGGTGCAGCGAGCTCCCTTCCTCTGCCCGGTGGGCACACAGATCCTGCCTGGCAGGCAGCGGAAGAAAGTCTGCTTCGGACGGAGCGTGGCTCTTGTCCCCTTGCAAGAGGACTGCTTCGTACAGAATTGATTTCCGCCTCTGCGCCTCCTGTTCTCCCGGAGGACTGGAAGGAGGCCTCCCTCTCTTTGGCATCGGGCCACCCCCCCCAGGCCTGATGGGGGAGCCCCCTCTAGCCCTGCCCGTTCCCTGGGTTTCCACACATCCTGCCATGTTTGGCTCCCCAAAGGCGGCTGACGGATCTCTCTGCCCAGCCCGGGCTTCCCTCCTGGGGAGTCTCTGTGCTCAGAGAGAGGCACAAGGCGAGACATGCTGCCCAGGCTGGCTGGAAACCCTGGGAACGGTCCTCCTGACAAGGAACCCAATTAATTGGGGGGGGGAAAGAACCTTTTGCTGGGCTGCCCTCCAGCAAGTGGCTGAGCGCCCCCCCGCTTCTCGGCCCCCTCCTTCGCAGGCCATGAGGACCTTGAACTGGAAGCCCCACCTGGGCTTGGTGAACCTGGATGTGGAGCTGGCGGATCGCACCCTTTCTCTCTCGGTGTCGCCCGTGCATGCCGCCATCATCCTGCACTTCCAGAGCAAAGGTGGGTGTGCTGAAGGTCCGAGCTCTTCTCCCCCTTCCCAATAGTGTCTGGGGAGGATGACGGTCATAGTTCAGCGCAAGAGGAGGCCACGGTTGGGATCCTTGGATGGGGCATGTCATGGTGTGCAGCGTCTGAGCCCTTGGCATGAATGACCCTCCCTGGATGGGTCTACCAGTTTTGAGAGACGTTCCTGACATGTCCCAGAGGCGTGCGCAGGCGTGCTCTGAGCGGTTGGTGCAGGCTGGACACGTGCTCTGGCCTGTTTCTCTGCCGCGTGGCAAATGCCTGCTCCCACCATCCTTGACGTGTTTCCGGCCCTGCTCTCTGTGCCTCCCTGGCGGTCTCTTCCCTCCCTCCTTCCCGGACTCTTGTCGCCCGCTTTCAGGCACGTGGACCCTGGAAGAGCTGAGCGAGGCGCTGAAGGTGCCGGCGGCCTCGCTGCGGCGCAAGATGACCCTGTGGCTGCAGCAGGGGGTGCTGCGGGAGGGCCCCCCGGGGACCTTCACGGTGATCGAGGAGGAGCAGAAGGACCGGGCCGAGAAGGTGGTGCTGATCGACAGCGACGAGGAAGGCGACTCCGCCATGGCATCCCAGGCTGACCAGAAGGAGGAGGAGCTGCAGGTGCGGCCTTCGTGCTTTGGAGAGGCTTTTGCTGACGACGGGGTGGCGCAAGTGCGGAGGAGGGGAACTTGAGGAGGGGGCCGGCCAGCGGGGGCCTGGGCTTGGTGGTCCCGCTGGGGTGGAGAGAGAGAGAGAGAGAGGGAGTGCCGTTTCCTTTGGAGGAGCTCTGAAACTCTTTGGGAGGCGCCTCCTTGGCCCGCACGCAGCGCCTCTTCCCCGCCAGGCAACGGCCTCTCTTCCTCTCTTGGCGCAGCTCTTCTGGACCTACATCCAGGCGATGCTGACCAACCTGGAGAGCCTCTCGCTGGAGCGCGTCCACAGCATGCTGAAGATCTTTGTGATGACGGGGCCCATGGTGACGGAGATCGACATCCAGGAGCTGCAGGGCTTCCTCCAGAAGAAAGTGCGGGACCAGCAGCTCCTCTACTCGGGAGGCGTCTACCGCTTGCCCAAGAGCTGCACCTGAGCCCCCTCCCTGGCCGTGAGCTCTGTGTGCGGGTTTTGCTGGGCTCCAGAGTGGTCGCAGGGCAGGGCACAGCACGCTTGGCAGGGTTCTGCCTTCCCCTCGGACTGGCACCCTGTGCCACCCTTCTGGGGGCACCCCGTGTGGCAAAGTCTCCAGGCCAGGGAGATGGGGCACCCTTCGGTCCTCCCCAAAGCGTGGAGAGGCTCCAGGACTTGTTCGATCTGTTCTTTTTGTAAATAATAATAAAAAACCTTGTGTCTTGTACTGTGAAGAGCAGCGTACCTTCATTCAGCTTTGTTTCCTGTTGGGCGGAAGGGAGTGGCCGTCGTCTCATGATGTCTGGAGGGCTGGATGGAGGTCCACCGTTGGCTGCAGTTGAGCACATGAGGGTGGGCAGGAGATGGGGTCTGAGGAGGAGGGTCCCAAGAAACCAGAGGTTAGGCAGGCCACTCTGTGTGTCAACGAAGGCAATGCGTCATGTCAACCGTTCATGTGGGGCCATGTTCGTGTGAGCTGAGAGGAAATGGGAAAAAACCAGGGAGGGAAGTGGATCGCAGAGGGTGCAAGAGAACCGGCCTGCTCCAACTGTTGACCGTTGACAGTGAGTATCTCAGAAGGCGGGAGGGAGGGAGGAGATGTGAAGGCAAAGTGGACCTTGTTCTGGGAAGAAATCCTTTCCTTTCCCTTGGTTCTCAGCCTCTTGCCAATCCATCTCCTTGGGAAACGCCTTGGGCTCTCTGAAGAAGAAAACACCCTGTTTTGCAAAACAAAAATGGCTGGAAATCTCAAGTCTTCCCCTGCAGGACATGTTCTCCCCAATCCTGAGTCTTTTGCCTACCCTGGGTTCATCGCCGGGGCAGATCCAGGATGAGGTGGTTTTTACAAGTCACATCACAGCAGCCCAGCATTCCTCGCTGAAGGGTGAGTAGGAGACCTTGGAAGCAAACCATCAGAAAAGACGTGTCCCCCAAGAATTCACGTGGATTTGCTCTTCTCCCCCCCCCCCCAAGCCGGCTTGGTTGTGGCAGACAAAAAGCAAGCCAGCCACCAATCCCACCCCACATTTGTGTAGTTGCAAAAAGGGGAACAGTGTGGCCACCAGGTGGTCACAGCAGCCGAGCATTCCTCGCTGGAGGGTGAGTAGCAGACCTTGGAAGAAAATCATCAGAAAAGACGTGTCCCCAAGAATTCACATGGATTTGCTCTCTCCCCCCCACCCAAGCCAGCTTGGTTGTGGCAGGCAAAAAGCAAGCCAGCCACCAACCCCACCCCACCTTTGTGTAGTCCCAAAAAGGGGAACAGTGTGGCCACCAGGTGTGTGCAGGTATCCCCCACCCCCTGCGCACAGCCTGGCTTCTTCCCTGGGGGGGGAGGTCAGCCACAGGCGCTCCCCATTGGTCAGGACACATTCCAGAGCATTGTGACATCACAGTCTCTCTCCTGGCTTCCCTGCCTCCCCGGCAAGAGGCCTAGCCTGCCTCCTTTTGCCAGAGCACCTGGGAAGGTGCGAGGGATTGGGAGCAGGACCCCATGATGCTCTTGGCGTGCCTCTGGTCCATGAGCATCATCGCCGCCTGTTCGGGTGAGTCTTGCATCGGTTGGAACAGCTCCTTCCTCCAGGAGCTCTCATGGAGGGGCAGGTGGAACGTGGGAGGCTGCCTGGAACCCACCCGTGGTCCACCTCGCCGCTCCCCATGGGCAGCGTGGCCCGAGAGCAGCCCGAAGTGCGCTCGGTGATGTTAGACAGGGTTGTTCATTGGCAGCCGGAGGCTGAACCTGGAAGCTTCTGCCCACAGAGAAGGGCCCTCCTCCTGCGTTGCAGCCCCGCGGTGTCTTCTGGCAGCTGATTCTTCCCCCCAACCGTATCCCACAGCACGAGGGACTTGGGGTAACGGGGAGCTTGCCCGTGGAAGGGTGAGAGTGTGGCATTTTTTAAAAATTGTGCTTTCATTTCATTTGGAGCAGGTGCTGCTTCTCCGTTCTGGCTTCCAGTGAACACAGACAAGGCCGAGAGATCGAGAGCTCAGCCTCCTGATTCCAATCGCCACTCGTCCTTGGAGGCAGGAAATGAAGTAGGCGCTTCTCCCAAAGACCATCTGAACCGGGGAGAGGCAGAAGAGAACGCTAACAGTGTCCGTCAAGCGCTCAAGCGGGTGAGCATGGAAACGGTACTGCTGTCGGTTTGCCTGCGGCACTTCTGGGCTGTGGGTCGGCTCTCAAGGGCGGGAGGGGGAGAGAAATCCTGCAAGGCAAGGGAGGCTCGGAAGCATCGGGGGGGGGGGGGCTCCCCAAGATAGAGCCTTCTCCTTTTTATAGCGGGCCACTGAGTGGGAGCAGGGTGGCGGCCTGGGGGATATGAAACAGGATAGCAGCAGCCAAAAAGTAAAGGACTGGGTTCACTCCCTAAGTATGTGTGGCAGAATTCTGAAAGAGTTCCTTTTTTCTTTTAAACTCAAGCCTGAGGTTGTAGGCCAAAAAGAACTTTCCCAGTTTGGCATGTTAGCAGAAAGTTAGAATCAAAGCCGCTGTTTGAACTCCGGGGACCAGCGTGCTTTCTGGACACGCGAAAGCTACTGAGATAAGAACAGACGACTCTGCTCGATGAGGCAGAGGTGTGAAATGGCACACGGTGGGTGTTGCAGTCTGAATCTTTGTCCCACAGCAGCAGTATCCGGAGGAAGCCGAGGACGAGGTGCACTACGGGCACCACCACGTGGAGGTCATCCCCGAACACCGGCAAGCTTCCCTGCGGAGTAAGGCGCCGTCTTCCTCCCCGTCTCGCCCCGGGCCCCTGCTCGGGACAGTGCCTCTCCCTTCCCTGGCAGGAAGAGGGGGCCATCAGAGCTGGGAGGAAGTCGCTGGCCTCCTGGCTCGACCAGGGTGCTGGTGGGCACCGTGCCCTCCTTGGGGCACGAGGCTGCCAAGAGGTGGGAGGAGGAGAAGGAGGTGAGCAGCTGCTGGAAGAGGCTGAGGTTCTGTGTGCTCTCTGGCCCACGGCTGACAGGCAGCCCCCGCCGCAGCAGCCACTCTCTTGGGCTCTCTGGCAGAGGAAGGTCCGTGCCCTCTCTTGCCACCCACTCGAGCTCTTCGGCAGTCGTTCCCCGAAAGCCACGGGGGGAGGGGGGCCTCTGTCCTGTCTTGATGGCATCAGCCATCGGAGGAAGCAGCGAGATGGGAAGGGGCTGCGGCTTTCCCTCCTCCCATCAGCTGACTCTTCCCATTCAGCATCCCCGCAAGCCTGCGACTGCCCGGATGCGCTGGACAAAGGGACTCTGATCGCCATTGTGGCTGCCTTGGCCTTCCTGGGCTTCTTCTCCAGCTCCATCCTGCTGGTGGTGGCCATCTGCATCTTGCGCCGGGCGAAGAAGCAGAGGTGAGCCCTGCCACGGGGGAGAGAAAGAGAGAGAGAGAGCGCGCGCAAAAGCACACGTTTGCTCCTGACCCAAGGCAGCTCACAGCAGGATTAGAAGGAAAAGCACACGTTTACTCCTGTTTTTCTCGCTACTCGCCGAGGGCTCTGGGAGCGTTCGTTCATTCTCACCAGTTGTATTTGTCTCCTGTTATTTCTCCACTACTGGGGCCCAAGGCAGCTCACAGCAGGATTAGAAGGACGCTTTTTTCATTCAGACGCTCCCAAAATGGGCTTCCAGCTATTGAGAAGACGCCCTTTATTAATGATCAATTTCCTCAGCCTGATAAATGTCCTTTTAATCAAATTTGCAACTTAAACCATTATCTTAACTCACGGCGCTACCCTTTATTAATGATCCATTTCCTCAGCCTGATAAATTTGGTCCTTTTAATCAAATTTGCGACTTAAACCATTATCTTAACTCACGGCGCTTGGCGAGACTGTTGTTTTAGGTGTCTTGTCTCTTAGGCACAGTTAGCTAAATCCACACTCACGCAATGGGTGGGTAAACATCGTCCATAGAGCCCTACAGCGTATTCAAAGGGTTCCATGCTGGTCTTTTATCCCATTCTATTTTTTTTTTAAATCTCTTCCCCCCCAAAAAAAAAAGTTATATTACCTGATGTGTCCACCAGACACGGCAAAGAGGAACAACAGACAGGCTCCCTTCCCATACTATTTTTGAACACGGCCTGTAAGTCTTGCCACGGACAAGCTGGTGCTGAGGATCCACCGATCGCTTGTCTTGTACGGATTTTTTTTTCCTCTCTTGTTTTCAAGGAAAAAGGAGAAGGAAGAGAAGCTCCACTCGCCTCACCGGAGGCGTCACCCTCCCGTCCCGTAAGTAGTTCCTGAGGCCCCTGCCGAGTGGGGAGGGAGGAGGCGACCCCTGCAAAGGAGGGGTCAAGTCTCCCCATTTTTTAAAAATATGCCACGCATCCTTTTCCAATGGCTCGGATTAGATTGAGGGCCAACGATCACACAGTGGTGGGAAGGAGCAGAGGCTGGAATAGCTGCTGGGTGGAGGTTCTTGGAGTCGTGGTGGGAAAAAAAACAACCCACATTCCCTTGGGATGGGATGGGATGGGATCAGATCTGTTGCAACAAACCCCACTCTCTGTGGTTACAGCCCCCCTCGCCCAGAGCACACTGTGAAGGGTCAGGGCTATGAGCAGCTCCATCCGGCCTCCCGGTGAGTAGAGGATCTTTTCCCCCTGTTTCTGCTCCAGAGAACCTTGATGGGAAGCCGGGCCTTTGGGTTCGGCCTCCAAAACAAGACAGCTCCTGAACCCTGAGGGCTGCCTAGGGAATGGAGCATCTTTCTGTCTGTTAACAATGGGGTGGTAGGGCTTTTTTTGTGTTGTCTTATTTCTGCTTGGGCAAGTTGGGAAGAGGCAAAAGGGAGATCTAGAAGGGTTGAAATTCTGGTTTGGGGATCTGGGATTTCACGAGGATTTCACTAGACATTCTGCAGTCCCTCCTAGTGGGTCCCCTCCCCGGCAACCTCGGGCAGACGGCTTTGTCCCCAAGTCTGGACACTAGTGTTTAGGCGGCTATTTGCAGTTGTTGTGTATTTTGTGAAAAATTGATTGTCTTTAGGCTTCACGTTGGGTTTGGTGACTTGGCTGCCATATTTACAGCCCTCCAAGCGACTCCTTTGAATTTTAAAAGTTCATATTACATTTTTAAAATAATTAGGGGACACAGGCTTTGCGAAACCTGAGTCCCTAATTCCGAGGTGGGGAAAAGGGTGGGTGTCATAAGCGGGCCACCGAGGTCTCTTTGGGTCTGCCGGTTATGCCATTGTTATGAACACAAATAGGCGCCATCTCTTTCTCTGGTTACCTCTCCGTGTCATTTCAGGCATGCCCCACAGGGTGTGTATCTGCACGCCAGTGACCTGCACCCTGGGCCGAGGTAGGTTGGAGGCTGGGTAGGAAAGGGAGCCCGTGCGATTTCACGGGAGCCTTTAAGAAAGACTGGCGTGCTCTAGAACTCTTTCAGCCTTTCACAATGGAGGGAGGGGGAGAGACTGCTTCCATGCTTTTCTCTTCCCTCTTCTGTCTGCCTTGGGCTCAGTTGTGGAAACGGAGGCCACCGCCCTTTTAAAAATAGGAATGCAAATGATGAGAGGCAGACCCCTGGGTGAGGATAGGGAGAAGGGTCGGTGGACTGAGGGCTATTTTACAGTGCCAGCTCCATGCCACCATGCTTCTCAATGAACGCCAGGGGCGGAAGTGGGCTGCCCGAGGGCCGTCTTCTCCTTTCTGCATAACAGGCCTGCAGGACGGGTGAGGAGGAAAGAGGGGATGCCCGCCTCATCTGTTTTCATGGTTCAGTGGGGAGATGAGGCCAAGCCCCTCTACTCCTAAGTGAGTCCTTGAAATGCTGCCCTGCGCCGTTTCTCTGTCCTCTCAGGATCCATCATGAGAAGCGTTACCAGAATGTGAGTGGATCGTTTCATGGATCCAAGTGAGTAGGGGGAAGTCCGTACGGATCCTGCCAAGCATCGTAGGCAGAGGGGGAGGCGGGGAGGGGGACTAGGTGGGGAACAAACTGCCCGATCCCCAAAGCATGCACCTAGGACCCTGTTCCCTTTTGGGGGGGGGGAGTTGTCCCTCTGGCCGCTGACTGCTGGGGGTGTTTTTCTGTGCCTCCTGTCTCAACAAAGTGAGAAGAAACCTCAGTAGTTGATGAACACAACGGGAAAGAGGAAGCTGGCCAGTCCGGTTAGCAGCCATGTCTCTTCCCGAGGGGTTCCGGTTGGCTCCCTTGCCAGCCCAGACCGGAGATCCTTCCCTGCCATGAGTTCTTGGCGGTCTCACCTCGGAGGACAGGCCAGGCCAGACCTTGCTTAGCTTTGGAACTCAGAGGAGATCAGTGCGTTCCGGTGGTGTACAGGTTTGAGGCCCGGCCAAGAATCTGATGTTCAGGATGGTAGTGAAAGGTGTAACCCCACCACCACCACCCCCTTCCAAGCGGACTTTACCATTTGCAGGCTGTGCAAAGACGGATGAGACATGGGGGGGTTGGCAGCTTCCGTGGGCATGTCCAGAGATCCGGAGGCCTGAGAGAAAAAATGGGGCTCGGGACGGCAGCCTGGACGGCAGTGCCTCCTTCCTTCCCTGCCCATGGTCTGGCCCTGTGATCTGCCTCTTGTGTTCCCAGGTCCACCCCAGAGAATGAGTACATTGCTCCTTGCTGGGAGTCAACTTTTTCCACGTGAGTCTGGAGGTTCCCTCGCCTCTGCTCGGGTGAAACCTTTCTGCAACTTCCTTCACAAGCTGTTTCCCTGGAGCTGTCCTCCAAATGGCCCATGGGCATGCACGCGCTGCTCTGCCGGATGTGCTGAGGATGCCCTGCCGGAGAACCTTTCCCATCGCATGGACGTGGGCCATGCCAGCTTCTGCTGAAGGATGTGCCGCCCAGCCTGGGTGGGCGGTGGTGACACTGTAGTCTGATCTTGCCACAGGCTGCTGTGAGGAGGTGCAGGGTTTGGAGAGGGCCTGGGAAAGCCAGGCTGGCCGGAGAGCGATCTGGCTGTTGTCATTCATTCTTGTCCTGCTCATCCACTACTGAGGTTTGATTGCATGGTCTCCAAATGGGGTCTCCCAGATTAGCTCACTGCACCAAGAGCACAAAATCCAAGAGGAGCATTGCCTTCTTGGCATGGAACTTCCATGTTCAGCAGCAGTGTACCACTAAACACTGGATCTCCAAATGGGGTCTCCCAGATACCTTAAGGGACCAGGTTAGCCCACTGCACCAAGAGCACTAAAATCCAAGAGGAGCTTTGCCTTCTTGGCATGGAACTTCCACGTTCAGCAGCAGTGTACCACTAAACACTGGTTATGGGTTGAAGTGGGGAGAAAGGAGAGTTGCAGCATTTGCATTCGTGTCCTAATTGTGAGACGTCTCATTGGGCCAGAACTTGGAAAGAAGTTACTCTTTTTTTTAATTACTGCCCTCTGAACTTCCCAGATAGCATGGCCTTTAGTAAAGGCTGGGTGGTGAGTGGGGTGGAGGTTCTGGGAGCAGTGTTCCACACCAAAATAAGGAACTTTTCTGGGCTCTGAATTGGCCTCTTGTGAATAACTGGACACTGGAAGACACGGGCCTGGTGGGTCTGAGCCAGCCCATTTCCTCCTCATGAACTCTGTATTTCAGGCCTCCATTGGAGAGCAAGTACGCCAACGTGGAAGAATTGGATCATAAATCTCCGTAAGTACAACAACCATGTCTGAGAGGGAGGGAGGGGAGTGTCTAGCGAGGAATCCTGCAGCCATGTACTCCTGCTTCACTATCATCCAGTGGACATCAGAGGTGGCAGATGGAGTGCCTCCCAACATCCTGAACTCCCAAAGTGTGATGGGCCGTCACATCTCTAGAAGTCTTGCTTCTTGATCTGATGCTAGGCAGATATTGCCAGGGGTCCTCCTTGAAAGGTCCACCCCTTAGAAAGGCCCTGGAAAGTGGGGGGACCTTGCTGCTTGCCATCAAATCAGCCACATTGCTCCGCCACCCCTGCAAAACTGAGTTGGATGATCCAGACTTACACCTCTTTACTGTTTCTCCTTCCACCCCACCCCACCTCCACTTCAGAGATGAAGGCTCACCAGGAGCTGTGGAGTCGCCAAAGAGGTGAGTTAACCCGTCCTGTATAAAATGTGGGTGATCCAGTGGCATTAGTCCATCCGGCAGGCCAAAGTTCTTCTCTGGAGCTTTCACGACAGGGCAGCCCCGAATCCAAACTGTGAGGCAGGGAATCTCAGTATTGGAATTGGGGTTTCTTCTTCAAAGACTCATGAGCATAGATGGCGCTCAGAATGTTCCCCGAGTCGCAGCTGAGCATTTTCTTCTGCCAGCTATAGGTTTCGTTGCCATCGTCGTCGCCATTATTTTTAGCAGCAGGAGTCGTCAGCGGTGGCTTTTCAGCCCACTAGCGCTGCAGCAGGCCAAAGCGATGGGCAGTAAAATAAGAGGAGCACATTTTTTAAAAATAGATGGCTTGAAACCATTTGGAAGCCAATTGTAAAACCGCTTTTTAAAAAGCCCAGAGGCCCTATGGAGAAATGCCGAGTGATCCATCTCAGCATGGAATGAGTTGGTCTCCTTTAGTCTCGGAAGGCGTTCTGCAGCTGATTGGGTGAAACCTGAACTCTTCCTTGTGTAGGTCCTTCCAAAACCCCAATTCTAGCGCAGGTAAACCATGGCAAGCGTTGCCGCCACTATGTAGTTGAGAGAGGGGAGATTGAATCCAGAGATTTAGCAGGAAAAAACTGGATCAGGCAGGCCTGGGGGGAGAGACATTCATTTGATTGTGGGGTACAGCAGCCTGACTTCTCAGCTCTTGCAGGACTTTGCCAACGTCCTTCACAAGAACGCAGAGCACGAAGCGCTCACATTAGACTAGACTGCACAGGGTTGCAACAGGATCCAGAATTCATTTCGAGCGAACGTTAGCTCTCCTTGCTTCCCGCTCTGGGGACGCATCTTTCCCTTTTCAGTCAGTTTTTTTTTTTCATCATTTCTGTTCAAAGAGCAGCAGGCATGTAACGTGACCAACTTCTGTTTCCCTCTCACCCCTGCGCAGACGTGAGGCCCATCTTTATGAAGAAGTAGAGTGAGAGGATGGAGTGCTGGACAAACAGTTTTGCTGTGATCCTTTTGCCACAGAGCCCTCTGACAAAGTGGAGTATCGCCCAGGAAGCTGCTTGGCCTTCATATTAAAGCACTGCTTATTTTTCCCTCTTGGTCCTGTGGTTTTGCAAACTTCCTGCCTTCGAGCAACCACCCTCTACATCTTTCAAACACCACTCCCCCCTGCCTCCATTTGCCACAGAACGCCTTCTGCACTGCAGAAATTTCTGGGGAAAGATCCAGGAGGTATCTTGGACCAACTTTTACAACTCTTTTTCTGTGGGGGATAATAACAAGGATATGAATTTCTCAGCCCCCTGCCCTGCATTGTCCTTGGGTTGTAAGCAGAATCTGGACTATTGACAGTGAATCCTGGGGGCAAATTGCAACCATGTTGGGCAGGCTTGGGACGCTGGTGCAAGCATACCTACCAAACTTTCTTCCTTGTGCATATTTTCACTTGCTCCCCTACTGTCCTTTTATATGCCAGGGGTGCGTTGTACCAATTCTGAAAGATGGAGGGGGGTGAGGGTGGGGGAATGTCCACCTTTCCTTTCAGGTTGAGGATGGTGGCAGTTCACAAGCATGGGGGGGAAGGATTGTGACCGAGAGGACAGGAGTTCTGTGAAAACCCACTTTTTTTCTATCAAGGCAGGGTTGTCAACTTTAAAAAAATAACTGGGTTTCTATGCTAATTAGGTGTAGGATGATTGTAATGTGCTTTTGAAATATTTTCGTAATGTGTGTGTGTATAAACTTTCAAAAATGTTTGCAGATTTGATCAAATCCTTGGAAGTGGTGCATCTAGAACATTTCAAACACAGAACAGCTAATCCTCGCCCCCCCAAACAAATCAAAAATCATTTCTCTGTGCTTGTATTTTATGGAATCCAAGAGTCCCGCACCCTGCTTACTCAATCCTGAACTGATGGTTGTCAAAATGTGGTTTCTCTGCTGGTCACCCACTTGTTATATTTTTGGGCTTGAGCTCACCCGTCCTCTGCAAAAGGCTGTTTGCTACAGGAGCCGGGGGTGGGCAAAGTCCACCTTCTTAGCCTGGACTTAACCCATGTGCTTTGTTGTGAATTCATGGAGCTTGGATCTCCTCACATTGTGGCACGCTTTTCCAGTCCTTCCACGGCACCCTCTTGGATCCATCCCCTTGCCCTTACCTAGGATCCAGGCTCCTTCTAGGGCTGGGGTCCACTTACTGACACAAGATGGGGCTAGGGAGGGAGGGGGGGATCCTGACCAAAGGGCCTGCCGTTGAGCCCTTTCCGGTGGCTTTCTCCACCCTCGGCAATGTTGGTGGGAGGGTGGCCGTGGGCGGCATAAGACAGCCGCAGGCTGTAGGGGCAAGAGAGAGGAGGGAAACCCACAGGAAAATCATGCATGCTTGGACCCAGATAGATGGGCGGCGATGTTGCTGAACGGGGTCCCCTTCCAGGCAGAGACGCCTGTGCAAGGCCAATGGTGAATATGATGAGATGGTGGGGAGCTGCGCCTGGGCATGCCGTGTGAAGCAAACGTGTTTCGAAGAGGAGTCGCAAGGTGGCGGGGGGTGCTTTTCTGCAGGTGGCAATATGGTGCCTGCTGTGGCGGTTTGCGGAAGTGGGGACTCTGGGTTTCCTGGAGGATTCAGGGACCCTTTCCGCCAGACCCAGCGGGGAGGAGGCGAGCCCAGGAGCCCCCGGCAAGACCGACAGGGTCCGAAGGGAAGGGACCCCCCAGCATGCAGTTGCACGCATGGGTTTGGGTACAGCAAATGTGAGAGCAGGCTCTTTCCTTGTCCCCTCAGGGAAGCCAGCAAATGTCCCCTCAGGAAAGCCAGCAAATGGAGGGTCTTGTTGAGGGGGCTTGTTCTTGGTGCCAACTGGGGGTTTGTCTGTTTTCCTCAAAGATACACAAGAGGCCGTGTTGTGGGTGCTTTTCTGGAGGAATGTCGCTAGTGAGGGCCTCTCTGGGTCCCTCGGCCTGCGTTTCCTAGCAGGCTTCCCTGGCTCTGTTTTCGGTCCTAGGCCCGTTGCCAAGGGTTATAGCGTCCCTCGCAACCGCCTCTCGCCCTTTGAGGGGTTACAGCAATGGCGTAGCGGGACAACTAAGGGGCTCAGGCTGAACAGGGCCTTCGCGGTACAGAAGTAGCGTAGTCCTCCTTTGCGAATCGCCTCCCCCGCCCGTTGTCAGGGCGAGGACGGCGCGCGCCGGTTACTGCGGCCGTTACCAGGAGACCCGCCTCGCGCGCTCAGCCCGCCTTTGATCCGGGCTGCCGTTGGAAATCGAGAGGGCGAGAAAGCCAATCTGTGCCCGCCATCAATCATTCAAATGACCCAATCGCGGGAAGCCGTTTGGGCGCTCGCGCCGCGGCAGTTGGAGACGACCCGTAAGAGATGAGCCAATAGGAAGGGCGCAGAGGGAGGGAGGGGGGGAAACACCGGCGCGAGCTGACGTCGCAAGGAGCCAATGAGGAGAAGGACAAGAGGGAAAAGCGAAACGAGCTCGAGCCGAAAGAAAACGTTGATCGGCGACAGGTTCCAGATTGGCGTCCGCTCAGTCCAATCGGCGCCGCGGCCTCTCCGCGAGCAGCCAATAGCGGCCGGAGAACCCCTTGACGGGCAAGGTGGAGTGAGCCGGTGGGCGGGGGCAGCTGCTCGCGCGCGCGCGGCCGCTCCGTCCCCGCCCCCTTTCCTGCGTCTCCTTTATAAGGGCGCGTCCGTTACCTTGACGCAGCCAGTCTTCAGTGCGCCGCCGCCCGGGAAAGCCGAGGAAGGAGGCCGCCGCTTTTGCCACCTTCGCCTGCTCCGCATTTACTCACCTCGCGCCCCCCGGACATCTTCCTACCCGCCATCATGAGAGAGATCGTACACTTGCAGGCCGGCCAGTGCGGCAACCAGATCGGAGCCAAGGTCCGAGGACACCCCCGAGAGGCCCCCCCACCCTCGATTTCCCCCCTCCCCGGGAAAAGGGGGGGGAAGAATCGGCTGGGCCGGGCTTGGTTGGCGAGAGGGAGGGATGGGGGGGGCAGAAGCGGCTTCATCCGCAGCCGTTGACGCGCGCTCGATTCCCCCCCCCCTTCGTTTTCCCACCTTAGTTCTGGGAAGTGATTTCGGACGAGCACGGCATCGACCCCACCGGCACCTACCACGGAGACAGCGACCTCCAGCTCGAGCGCATCAACGTCTATTACAACGAGGCCACGGGTGAGGAGGAGGGGGGTGGCGAGGGCGCCTCTGAGCATGTGCCGAGGGCGAGGCCGTGAAAGAGGAGGGAGGGAAGGCAGACAGGAGGGACACTTGCTTCCCTCGCCCTCCCGCCACGTGCCCCCCCACGATGCCATGCGGGGCCCTACAATTGGATCAATGTGTTGTTATTGCTAGAATGACGTTAAATGCTGCTGTCACTTTGTGGGGTGGGGTGAAGGAGGCATTTGCCTTTTAGCTTTCCAGGAATAAGACGGGTGCATTTCGGTTTTCATTCTTAAATCAACGATATATCAGCTTGTATTCCTAAAGCTGAGGTTTGCTATGTGCCAGGATGTCATAGCCCAGGTAAAACAGGATTTATCTAGATATGTCCTTAGGCTTTGGATTAGAAGCAGGTGCTTTGCACATTTCTCAAGAGGCGCTCAGGCCAGCAAGTTCACATGCTCACAGAAACGTGGGCTGTCATGTCAAGGAGAGAAAGCGGTGCTTTGCATCAGGAACCAAAGCCTGGAAGCGCAGTGTCAAAAGCTATTCACTGACTGGGGGAAAAGAAGTCACTGGCTTAAATGTACTGTATTTCTTCCTGGTGGCTTTTGCAGCTGCTTGTGGATGGAGCATGGCAGAGAGATGAGACTGGATGAGGTAACTTGAATTATGCTGGTAGTTCCTGTGATCAACGTGTAGCTTTTGAGAAAATGGGAGCATACATTTTTAGCTGGTTGATAACAGCATTTGTGAGGCCAACTAAACAAAGCAGCTCTTGTTTTTTTATGAAGCTTTTTATTTTGGCTTGAAAGCTGGTTGATAACAGCATTTGTGAGGCTAACTAAACAAAGCAGCTCTTTTTTATGAAGCTTTTTATTTTGGCTTGAAGGCTTGCTCAGCCAACTAGTCTTTAGAAGGTTCTTGTGATTGATTTCCGCCCCAAGGCTGCTGAATGCTTTGATGAGGTTCCAGGTTTGTTAAGAAATTGACCAGGAACATGTTTTTGCTGATCTTGTTACCTAGAGAATTTTCCTTGGTCTTTTGGGATCTCTGAATCTTACTGATGCGAATAGAGAGTTTCATTAGGTATTTTCTGCTTTCATTCAATGCTTTTATGTTAGAGATTTTCCACTCTACTGCTTGCTGGTTTTAGTCTTTGGAGGTTGTGTGCAACCTTCTTTGGGTAACTGGCTTTTATTCTGGTTAGGTGTAAGCACACTGGTTCTAGAGCTTTCTGGACTTCTGCCTGCACTTCACACCTTTGTTTGCTCTCTGCTAATCGTTGTCCTTTTTCCACAGGTGGCAAATATGTCCCTCGGGCTGTGCTGGTGGATCTGGAGCCTGGCACCATGGATTCTGTACGCTCTGGCCCCTTTGGGCAGATCTTCAGGCCGGATAATTTTGTTTTTGGTAGGTAGTGAGAAGGTTAGGTGTCAGAGATCTCAACCTCAGGAGTAACGTGTAGAGCTTTTACTTGTGTTTGATACAGCAACATTGCAGGGAAAAGGCTCACAAGATGTTATGGGTGGCATGGGGTTATTCTTTAAAGCTCTTTCACGTATGTGGCAGTAAGTTACTGCTCTGCTTAACACGGAAGGTGTAGTCGTAGTGAATGTCTTGGAAGACTAAGTTATAGAAAGGCTCCAGTTCTGAAACAAAGTTCAGGAGCTGCCTTTGATTGTTAACTACTTTTTGCCAGAGCAGAGGTGTGTCTAGCCTTGACTGGGAGTTGTGTTTAATTGTCAGCCCTACCAACGCCTGCATTTTCTTGAGCAGCACAAGGGTGTGAGCCAGGAACTCGAGTGACATCAGGCCTTGCATCTACACTGGCATGTCTGAGATCATTACACAAACTTGGCCCAGCCTGATATTAGAAATGATTCAGGCTGTGGGATGAAATGCTTTTGCTTTTCTTATCTGTGGAAGTAAGCCTCAGTGTTGTTTAATAGCAGTTAATGTGTTGCTCTTTTCCAGGCCAAAGTGGAGCAGGCAACAACTGGGCAAAGGGCCACTACACCGAGGGGGCTGAACTGGTTGACTCCGTGCTGGACGTTGTCCGGAAGGAAGCTGAAAGCTGTGACTGTCTGCAGGGCTTCCAGCTCACACACTCCCTCGGGGGCGGCACTGGTTCTGGCATGGGCACCCTCCTCATCAGTAAGATCCGGGAGGAGTACCCGGACAGAATCATGAACACTTTCAGCGTCGTTCCTTCTCCCAAAGTGTCAGACACGGTGGTCGAGCCCTACAACGCCACCCTCTCGGTTCACCAGCTGGTGGAGAACACGGACGAGACCTACTGCATTGACAACGAGGCCCTCTACGACATCTGCTTCCGGACCCTTAAGCTGACAACCCCCACGTATGGGGACCTGAACCACCTGGTGTCGGCCACGATGAGTGGGGTGACCACTTGTCTGCGGTTCCCGGGGCAGCTGAACGCCGACTTGCGCAAGCTGGCCGTCAACATGGTCCCCTTCCCCCGCTTGCACTTCTTCATGCCTGGCTTTGCCCCCCTTACCAGCCGCGGGAGCCAGCAGTACCGGGCGCTCACCGTGCCCGAGCTCACCCAGCAGATGTTTGACGCCAAGAACATGATGGCAGCCTGTGACCCCCGCCACGGCCGCTACCTCACCGTGGCCGCCGTCTTCCGAGGGCGCATGTCCATGAAGGAGGTGGACGAGCAGATGCTGAACGTCCAGAACAAGAACAGCAGCTACTTTGTGGAGTGGATCCCCAACAACGTCAAGACGGCCGTCTGCGACATTCCTCCTCGCGGCCTCAAAATGTCCGCCACCTTCATCGGCAACAGCACGGCCATCCAAGAGCTGTTCAAGCGCATCTCTGAGCAGTTCACGGCCATGTTCCGCCGGAAGGCCTTCCTCCACTGGTACACGGGCGAGGGCATGGACGAGATGGAGTTCACGGAGGCGGAGAGCAACATGAACGACCTGGTGTCCGAATACCAGCAGTACCAGGATGCCACAGCAGAGGAGGAGGGAGAGTTTGAGGAAGAGGCAGAGGAGGAAGCCGCTTAAGGGCCCAGCTCTTACCTGAACACCTGTACATTATGTTTAAAGCTGTAATGAACTTTTATTATTCATGTTGAGCTTGTTCTGTTTCTTTGTTCTACGCTTCCAGTTGCTTCCACCTGGTCTTCTGTCTGATGCTGTGTGAGCATTAAAAAAAAAATTCATCCTGCATGTTGTCTCCGCTCTAATTCATCGTAGTAAGCTTTCCGGGTGCTGTTTCCAAAGGTTAAGGCATAGTTGTGCCTGATAGCTGGGAAGAAAGAGAAATTGAGTCAGCAGCTGCATATGTTCGGGCTTGTTCCTCCTGACGTGTGGTAACGGCACAATGGCAAGGTGTGCCAGGCAGGGAGTAGAAGGAAGCTCTCATCACGTAGAGCAGGAAGTTGGCACAGAGAAAAAGGTGATGTGGCTTGGCCTGATTGTAATTCTCTTTTTTTTTGCTGCAGGCCAAGCTAATTTGCCTCATCTTTGTATGGGCTGGGCCACAGTCGCTCCCCCCAGCCTGCCTCTGGAGTCAAATGTGAGGAATGTTGGGATGGGAGCCACTGCCTCCCTCTGGGGAAGGGGGGGCACACTTGCCCCTTGGCATTGCTGGAGGATCAGTAGGATGGCTTTGTGCTTCTTCCAGCCAATTGTGATCTGTGAGGCTGGACTCTGCTGGTCAGAACGGCCAAGGCCACCTGTGAGGGATTTTGACCAGTAGAGTGTTTCCAAGGGGGAAATGCAGGTGTCACCATTGGCAGTGAGTAACGTAAACGCCAGTAATGCCTTTGCCACCGTGAGGAATGTATTCAGTAGCACACCTATGCTTTAGGTTGTGGTTATAATTTGTTAAATGCAGTTGGGAAGCAGAGTTAAGTGGGTGGGGGGTGACTGTGTTTGAGAGTACACTCTCTTTTAAAATAATTGTCAGGAGCATCCTGTTGGAGGAAGCCGAAAGTTTGGGAAGCAGAGTTAAGTGGGTGGGGGGGTGACTGTGTTTGAGAGTTCACTCTCTTTTAAAATAATTAATTGGCAGGAGCATCCTGTTGGAGGAAGCCGAAAGTGCCAACGTGCTGCCCTGTTAAGTTGTCTGAGCTGAGCTTGGCATTTGAGGTTCCAAGGAGCTCTGGAGCTTCCATAGAGAGGGGGTGGAATTCCCCTCCCTCTTTGCCTGCCTTATGGTAGTGAGTCAGAGCAGCTGGCAAGGGAGGAGGAGAGGCAGCTGGCACTCGGGTTGGCTGGGATCAGTCTGGCCTTCCAGCCTCTCACCTCTGCGCCACCCCAGGCAGCCGCCCTTTCCTGTGGATTTCTGTCTGGTGGCAGTGAGGCATGCTCTACAACTTACTTGGCACAAAGCCTGTGTAGAAGGGCATCAGGCCACCGCTGGAGTAAATCTTGGTGTTAGGCCAGTAGGTCCGGGGCAGCCTCTTCCCAAAACTGTAGAGTGGGCTCCTCAGCATTTCCTGGGAGAGAAGAAATCGTGCATCTGACTTTCAGTTTGGGAAGCAGTTTCTGATCTGCATCCTTTGCTTAGGAGCGCTGGCTTCAGAGCTACATAGAACGTTTAGGCATCAGAAAGGTCTCACAAACCGGGGATCCTCTCCCAGCTACCAGTTTGGACGTGGATGTCCACCTTACCTGATTTTTGTCAAATTCATTCATAGCCTCTTTGACCCCTTTCAGGTAATTGGATCCCATAGTCCAGGTGAAGCGGGGGATGAATCCAGTGTAGCCTGTAAGAAAAAAAGGGGGGGGCGGAGAGTGACTTTAAAGTCAAGCACCGCAAGTTGATGCTAATGCTGAAAAGTCCCTGAGCTGTGCCCACGTGTGGCGCTGGGGTTCAACAGCATGCTGTCTAGACTGAGAGCTTCGTGGGTTGAACTTTAGCCCTTCAAGTGGCTTTTGAGTTTTAGCCCTGTCCTCTGAATAGTTAACCTCAGCAAGTGCTGATCGGTACCTTCTTGCATCTGAGAGCCTCGTGGGTTGAACTTTTTGCCCTTCAAGTGGCTTTTGAATTTTAGCCCTGTCCTCTGTGAATAGTTAAGCTCAGCAAGTGCTGATCGGTACCTTCTTGCATTCCCCTCCTTTCAAGTCTCCCTGCGTAAGTGCCTCGGGGCGCCTGAAGCAGGGGCCACAAATCCAGATGTGAGGCCAAGCGGGGAATGCTTCTGAGCCCTCCCCTCCCAAGTTGGCCTGCCTTCAGCCCCTTCACCTGAGATGGCTTTTCGCTGGAGGAGGTTGGGCAGGTCCAGCTTGGGTGTCCGGCCAAACCGCTTCACGTCCACGGTCTCCGTCACTGGGGGGACAGGGGTGCCCTCGATCCGCATCGGCTGGAGGTCAAAGGAAGAAAATCGGAGCTGGTATTCGTCCCTGGTGCATTTCTCAGAAATGAGCAAGGCTCCTTACTCTTGGGGATGGGGGGGGCACTACAGTGCCAACCATTTCCAGTTGTCTTGCCCACTACCGTGTTTGCTTGAGGACTCTGGGAACTGGAGTTCAGAGAAATGAACCTTTCTTGCTATTATTCCCCTCTCGATCTTAGCCCGATGCATTTGTTAGTTATAATCAGAACGGTGATCCGTCTGAACACTAAGGTTCAAATCTGGACTGCAATACGTAATCCAATTCAAAAGAAACAGAATAAAACTATACTGATCTGGCTTATGAATTCGAGAAGACTCTTGCCACTTAACGCCAGTACAGTAAATGCCGCTGTATCTAGAAAAGCTCACCTGTTCAGTCCCTGGGATGCAAGGGGTGCCTTGCCAGCCCTGCCCACAGATGAGAGACATGCCAGTATTGCAGGGTCCCCGGCTTTCCTCTTGCCCGCACACAAGCGCGACGTCCGGGTGGCAGAGCATCTTCTGGTCACCGTCCTTGGATACCAGCTGGGAGCCAGCTTTAGAAGCGAACTGCCTCCACCCAGGCCCGCATGCCAGCCTGATCCCGGGGTGGCAGGAGGTGTACTTCTGTTCTACCAGTTGCACTGAGTTGGGGTCTATAAATCTCTGGGGCTCTGCCCTTGGCACCGGGGGACGAGATTCCTTGCCTGGAATAGGAAAGCAACCATAGTATGGGACAAAGCCTGGAAAAGATAAGGCAAAAAAGAAAAAAACTCCAGCCGGCTGGAAAGTAGCAGAGTAGCTATAGCAAAGGGGCAGGTGTTGTAAGGCCATAGGGTAGAGAGTCACGAGAGTTCTGGAGGCCGAGTGGGCAGAGATTAGCCCGGCGGTCCCGTAGGCCCACCTGTGAATCCAGGGATGTATCTCTGGTGCTGATCCAACAGGTCGTCCGGAGGGATTTGTCGGCGGCTGTAATCCTCGATGAATTTGGGCTTGCTGAGCGGAGCTAGGATGGAGGCCGGACTCTTCTGGACCTCCGGGTCGGTCAGCATGTCGTACGTGGTTCTTCCGTACGTTCTCCCAACCTGGTAGCGGACCTGCGGGTAAAACCCCCCGTACCTTTGAGAGGATAGGATGGCGGGGGGCGAGACAGAATGAAAACCAGGCACAAATACTGTATCATACTGTGTCATTCAATCAGCAGGCTTTATCGCTAGACTTTTAAAGACGCCATGGGGTTTTTCACTGTTTCCACCATCCCTGTAATGATGAAGCTTCTGAAGAAGCCTTGGTGGATGTTGTTCTTATTTAAGCAGCAAAATCCTTGTGCTATGTGGGGGGTGGGGGCGAGAAAGCCAGCCCAAATAGTTGCCCGGGGAGATCCCCCCCCCACTTCTTTCTTGCTGCTGTGGATTTTGGGTGGTTGAGTATCTAAAAAAAAGGAGGGCTTACCCAGGGATGTAATAAGGCTCCTGGGGGAAGAAACTGTATCTCTCAGCAGCTGTCATCTTGGCACATGTAAGGGCTGGATGGGACCCTCCCCTTTTGTGGGGCAAAGCTGTCCCCCCTCCCTCTCTGACTGTCCTGCCAGCAGCCGTTGTCTCCTGGGTGACCATTGTGAAGCAGGGGGTTTGCCCAGCCCCTCATCTTTTCAGGCGTGCACCAGAGGGCAGAAATTCAACAGGTAGAGATTCCCCCCCCCACACACACCCGGTGCATCATGCAAAGAGGCGAAGAGAAGCTTGGAGGAGGAGCCTGGGCTTCCCTTTATGCTTCGAGCGAGCACGAAGGTTCCGACCTGAGCCGCTGTTCCCGGGGGGACGGTTTTGGGCGTTGCACCGCGGCCCTTCCTTCCGGCGCCGGTGCCCGGTGAGTGGAAAGGGCAACCGCCCTTCCCTGAGGGGTGGGATTCGGCGAGGGGGGTTGG